GACCATTTGAAGCTTCCGGGCAGTCTTCAAGGGCAACCCCACGTAGAGCGCGTTGCAGTAATCTATGCGGGATGTGACAAGAGCATGGACTACCGTGGCCAAGTCCGACTTCCCAAGATACGGGCGCAGCTGGCGCACGAGCCGAAGCTGTGCAAATGCTCCTCTGGAGACCGCTGAAACTTGGGGTTCCAAGCTTAGCGAAGAATCCAGAGTCACACCCAAGCTGCGAACCTGTGTCTTCAGGGGGAGTGTGACCCCGTCCAACACAGGCTGTAACCCTATACCCTGTTCGGCCTTCCGACTGACCAGGAGTACCTCTGTCTTGTCTGGATTCAGTTTCAATTTGTTCACACTCATCCAGCCCGACACAGCAGCCAAGCACCGGTTCAGGACCTCGACAGCCTCCTTAGTAGCAGGTGGAAAGGAGTGACAGAGTTGGACATCATCTGCGTAGAGATGACACCGCACCCCGAAACTCCGGATGATCTCACCCAACGGCTTCATGTAGATGTTAAACAACATGGGGGACAGTATTGAACCCTGAGGAACCCCACAAGACAAAGGTTGTGGGGTTGAACAGGTGTCCCCCAACAACACCGGTGCCCTCTAGGAAGGACTGAGCCACTGTAGAACAGTGCCCCAAGGCCCATTCCCGTGAGGCGGCCCAGAAGGATACCGTGGTCGACGGTATCGAAGGCCGCTGAGAGGTCCAGCAGAACCAACAGGAACACACTCCCCCTGTCTAGCTCCCGGCGCAGATCATCCTAAGGCGACCAAGGCTGTCTCGGTACCATGCCCCGGTCTAAAGCCAGACTGCGCCGGATCCAGATAATCAGTGTCTACCAAGAATGCTTGGAGTTGTGAGGCCACCACACGTTCCAGGACTTTGCCCAAAAAGGGGAGATTGGAAACAGGCCGATAGTTGACGAATTGAGTGGGGTCCAGTGATGGTTTTTTCAACAGCGGTTTTATAACAGCTTGTTTTAAGCTGGCTGGAATTATGCCTTCCCGAAGGGAGGCATTAACCACCACCTTTACCCACTCGGCCAATCCCCCTCTGGCCTCCTTTAGAAGCCAGGATGGGCAGGGGTCTAGGATGCATGTGGTTGCCCTCATCCCTCCCAGCACCTTGTCCACATCCTCAGGTGTCACAGATTGAAACGAATCCAAAAATCGGACAGACAGGTGTTCTCGTCACATCCTCAGAGACTGCTGTTAACATGGTGTCCAGGCCTGAACGGATCAAAGCGACTTTGTCCGCAAAGAACCGAGCAAATGCTTCACAGCGGGCCGTCGAGTTGTCAGGGCTCCCATCCGGAGGGAGTTAAAAAACCTCTGACAATCCGAAACAACTCCGCCGGACGGTTCTTTGCAGACGCAATAGTGGCCGCAAAGAAATTTTTCTTTGCGGTCTTTATTGCCGCGGCATATGCCCTAAGGAAGGACACAAACCGTGCTCGGTTTGACTCGCTCGGGTCCGACCGCCACACACGCTCTAGTCTCCTCTTCTTTCGCTTCATTGCTGCCAGCTCCTCGGTGAACCAAGGAGCTGGTTTAGCTCGGCTACTTGAGAGGGGACGTTCCGGAGCGATCGTGTCTATAGCCCTGGTCATCTCCCTATTCCAGAGAGTCACCAAGGCCTCAACAGGATCACCAACCGAGGCGGCAGGAAACTCCCCAAGAGCCATCAGGAATCCATCCGGATCCATAAGCCTCCTGGGGCGGACCAACTTAATGGGTCCCCCACCTCTGCAGAGGTTAGGAGGTGCAGTAAGTCTAAAGCTGACCAGATGGTGGTCGGTCCATGGCAACGGAGAGATGGATAACTCCTCAACCCCGCCACCTTGCTCCCATCCTTGACAGAAGACCAAATCCAATGTGTGTCCAGCACTGTGGGTGGGGCCAGTTATTTGTTGGGACAGCCCCATGGTTGCCATGGAAGACATGAAGTCCTGAGCCGCTCCCACTAAGGTAGTCTCGGCGTGTACATTGAAGTCCCCCAGCACAAGGAGCCGTTGGGACTCCAATGACAGGCTCGAGACCACCCCTGCTAGCTCAGGTAGGGAGACTGTAGTGCAGCGAGGTGGGCGGTACACTAACAGAATCCCTATTCTGTCCCGGTCACCCACCCTCAGGTAGACACATTCAAAATTAGTTGACTGTGGGATGGGGCCTCTGGTCAGCGAGATGGAATTTTTATAGACTACCGCTACCCCACCTCCCCGCCCCCCAGGTCTCGATTGGTGCTGCACGGAGAACCCTGGTGGGCAAAGCTGGGTTAAATTAACTCCTCCAGCTTCGTCCAACCAGGTCTCCGTGATGCACGCCAGATCTGCCCGTTCCTCCAGAATTAAATCTTGGATGAAAGATGTTTTACCGTTGACAGATCTGGCGTTCAACAGCACCATCTTCAACCCGGGGGGACTGCCAGCCTGGGTACCTCCACTTGCCTTGTCGGGAGACCGATTGCATATTATTAAATTTTTTTGGTTTCTTTTTTTTTTCTATACCGAATTTGTGGTGGTAATTCTCTACCATTTTGGAGCCGAATTGATGGCCGAATTAATGGTCTCCCTTTCCCGCATCTCCCCCTCCCCGTTAAGGTTTCTATGGGGGCCCCTCGACCAATGGAATGCTCCTCCCCATCCATACCGCACCTTGACATTGCAACCTCATCCCTCGAGTCCTTCCAGTTTCTTTCCTTCATTAATTCCTCCTTCCGCCAACCCAGTTCCTTCCAGTTATTTCCCGGCCTTGCATAGCCCTTTCTGAGGTCTTCCCACCTACACCACCCTCCTCCCCCTTCCCTATTTGCCAGCAATGTTATTAGCAAATACCACAAAATGAGGGTAGACATGGGTGATCACAGAGCAGTCGTAATGTGCAGGTCATAAAGTGCTGTTGATTACCTCCTAGTTTTACTAATCGCTTGGAGGATTGAGGACCTATGGTATCGCGGAGGGTCAAAGTGCACAAAGTATAAAGTGCACGAGATTTTAAAGTGCACAGATTTTAGTTTTTAAAGTGCTCAATTCTAAAGTGCAGTATTCAATGACTCCCTAACTGGTGCAGTTGGATGGGTAAGTGCCAATAGGATGGAGGATTAGCAACAGTTGGGTAGACGGCTCAGTTCTTGTAATGACAGTGGAACGGCAAAGCAATCCTCAGTTCATTGTCAAGTATAGTATAATCATCAATTGACCTTTCTTCCCTCCATCGGGATGGTGGCTGCACAGGAACAGTGCCTTCAGCCCCTCCTCCTCGGTTTCCGTCAACTTCCTGCCTTTTCCTGAGTTGCACCTGGAAACAGAAGAGAAAAATGTATAGTATCACAAAGGACTACCACCTCATAGGAAACCTGCTACAAAACAGGAGCTTTTTTGTTGAGTTCCAGGGCCAGAGAAGCAGATGGCGGAAACAGAAGAACGGCCTGCCTCAGGGGAGCGTGCTTGCTCCATCCATGTTCAACATTTACACAAATGACCAGCCACTGCCAGAAGGGACAGAGAGTTTAATCTATGCTGATGATCGTGCCATTACTGCTCAAGCAGGGAGCTTTGAGATGGTAGAACAGAAGCTTTCCGAAGCTCTAGGTGCTCTTACTGCCTATTACAGGGAAAACCAGCTGATCCCTAACCCATCTAAAACACAGACATGTGCCTTTCATCTCAAGAACAGAGAAGCATCCCGAGCTCTGAAGATCACCTGGGAAGGAATCCCACTGGAGCATTGCAGCGCACCCAAATACCTGGGAGTCACTCTGGACCGTGTTCTTACCTACAAGAAGCACTGCCTGAACATCAAGCAAAAAGTGGGTGCTAGAAACAATATCATACGAAAGCTGACTGGCACAACCTGGGGATCACAACCAGACACAGTGAAGACATCTGCCCTTGTGCTGTGCTACTCTGCTGCTGAGTATGCATGCCCAGTGTGGAACACATCCCACCACACTAAAACAGTGGATGTGGCTCTGAATGAGACATGCCGCATTATCACGGGTGTCTGCGCCCTACACCACTGGAGAAATTACACTGCTTAGCCGGTATTGCACCACCTGACATCCGCCGGGAAGTAGCAGCCAATAGTGAAAGCACCAAGGCAGTGACATCTCCAGCTCATCCCTTGTTTGGGTATCAGCCAGCACGTCAACGACTTAAATCAAGAAATAGTTTTCTAAGATCTACAGAGACACTCGCTGGAACACCCAGCAAGCGAGAGTCCAAAAGTGGCAGGCTCAAACCCAGAACCTCAACCAATGGCTGATACCAAATGAGAGACTCCCCCCTGGGCACACAGAAAACTGGGGGGCTTGGAAGGCGCTGAACAGACTGCGCTCTGGCACCACGAGATGCAGAGCCAATCTTAAGAAATGGGGCTACAAAGTGGAGTCCATGACATGTGAGTGGGGAGAAGAGCAAACCACTGACCACCTGCTGCAATGCAACCTGAGCCCTGCCACATGCACAATGGAGGACCTTCTTGCAGCAACACCAGAAGCACTCCAAGTGGCCAGATACTGGTCAAAGGACATTTAATCAACTACCAAACTCACAAATTTCGTATTTTGTCTGTTTGTTTTTTTGCTTTGTTCTGTTAGAAATGTAATATAATCGACTGGTTGCCCTGACACGATAAATAAAAAATAAATACCTGGAAATAAAGGCAGAGAATATGAGTTGGTATGTTGTGGAGAGGAAATGAGTGTCACAGACAGGAAGTGGGTTTGTTGCATTCAGGAAATTGGTGTACTGGACAGGAAATGAGCATTACAGACAGGAAGTGAATATGGTGCAGAAAGATGGGTTACGGAAAGGAAATCGGTGTGTTCTTGACAGGAAGAGGATGACGGACAGTGGGTGTCACAGAAAGGAAGTGGTACCCACTTTGTAAATAAGGAAGTGGGTGTCACATACAGGAAGTGGGTATGTCATGGGCAGGAAGTGAGTGACACAGATAGGAAGTGTCCATCACAGACAGGAAATGGGTATTGTGGACAGGAAGTGATGTACAGGAAGTGGGCACTTCAGAGACAGGAAGTGGTCATTGGAGACAGGAAATTAGCATCATGGACAGGAAGTGGGTATCAGGGACAAGGAAGTGTCCATCACAGACAGGAAATGGGTATTGTGGACAGGAAATGATGTACAGGAAGTGGGCACTTCAGAGACAGGAAGTGGTTATTGGAGACAGGAAATTAGCATCATGGACAGGAAGTGGGTATCGGGGACAAGGAAGTGTCCATCACAGACAGGAAATGGGTATTGTGGACAGGAAGTGATGTACAGGAAGTGGCCATTGGAGACAGGAAGTGGTCATTGGAGACAGGAAATGAGTATCATGGACAGGAAGTGGGTGTGTTGCAGACAGGAAGTGTCCGTCACAGACAGGAAATGGGTATTGTGGACAGGAAGTGATGTACAGGAAGTGGTCATTGGAGACAGGAAGTGGTCATTGGAGACAGGAAATGAGTATCATGGACAGGAAGTGGGTATCAGGGACAAGAAGTGATTGACAGGAAGTGGGCACTTCAGAGACAAGAAGTGGTAATTGCAAATAGGAAATGAGTGTGTCATTGACAGAAAGTGTGATGGACAGGAAGTGGGTATGCCGTGGACAGGAAGTGGGGGTTCACCTTGAGTGCCACAGGGTCCATAGCGGGGAAAGCAGGCAGCCTTTGTGGATGGGCCGCAGGGGATCCTGCCTTTTCCTCCACTTCCTCTTCCTCTTCCCGGCTCCGGCTCCTCCGTAAGGAAAGGGAAATGGGGGCCCGGCGCTGTCGTCGTCTCTTGCTCAGGTGGACACGCGCCTTCAAGGCAGATGAGTCCAGGATCGGGGCCGGCTTTATAATAATATAAAATAATAATAATATAATAATATATAACAGTAAAAAAATGTAATAGAATTAATAATATAATAATTAAAAATTAAATTAAATTAATATCCATTATATTATTTTAACAATATAATATAGTACAATTATATTATATAATAATATAGAACAATGAGAAGATCTAATAAAATATACTACAATTATAATGAAATTGTATTATCATTTATTATATTATATTAGTAATCTTTTCTTTTTATATTATACGAATAATAATAATAAAATATAATACAATAATATAATATAATATTTTCATTACTATTACATAATTATAATATTATTATATTAGATTGTATTATTATTATATTATTAGTATAATATAATAATAACAATAATAATATATAGGGCTGAGCATTGCATCTATATAATAACAATAATAATAATATAACAATATATTATTGTATTGTCGAAGGCTTTCATGGCCAGAATCACTGGGTTGTTGTAGGTTTTTCCGGGCTATATGGCCATGCTCTAGAGGCATTTTCTCCTGACGTTTCGCTTGCATCTATGGCAAGCATCCTCACTACCTCTGAGGATGCTTGCCATAGATGCAGGCGAAACGTCAGGAGAAAATGCCTCTAGAACATGGCCATATAGCCCAGAAAATCCTACAACAACCCAATATATTATTGTTATATTTATTCAGTTATCTATCTCTCTGCTGCCCACTTGTGGTTGCATCTGAGTATTGCATCCATATAATATAATAATAAATACTATAAATAATAAATATACTAATACTAATACTAATAATAATAATAATATAACCCTAGAGCTGATCCTTTCTATCTCTATGCTGTTCCCTTGTGGCTACATCTGAGTATTGCATTCATGTAATAATATAATAATAAATGTAATATATAATGATATATATATTTTGTTATCTATTTTTTGTTATCTATCAATATATATATATTGTTATATATATTGGTGCTCCCTTGTGACCCGTGTATTAGCATTGTAGCCCTATAATAATAAAATAATAAATATAAAATATAATAATATAATGAATATAATAGCAATAAACATTATAAACATAATCTTAATAATGTAACTATAGAGCTAACCTTTTCTATCTCTACGCAGCCCCCTTGCGGCCAAGTCTGGGCATTGAATCCATATAATATTATATTTATTCCGTTATGTAATAAATAATAAACTACACAGCTGATCCTTTCAATGCAATGCTGTTTCCTTGTGGTCATATCTGAGCATTGCATATATATATATATATATATATATATATATATATATATATATATATATATATATATATATATATATATATATATATATATATATATATATATATATATATATAATATACTATATTTACTATAATGATGATGATGATGATAATAATATAAAATGACTCACATCCAGGAAGGAAAAGTCATGGATTCTTGTGCTGTCAATGCAGTCCGACTTCTGTTCCATATGCAAGGAGGAGGAAGTCGATGGGAGACTTAAATAATAATAATAATAATATAATTATTAAAACAATAAAAGCAATGAATACTAAATAGTGAAAAATAAAAATTTAACAATAACAATTTAATTAATAATAGCAGTATTATTAATAAATATTAAATACTGCTAATAAAATAATTAAATGATTATATTCTTTTTATTTAATATTTATTGCTAAAATTGTATAAGATTTTAAAAATAATAAATATTAAATAAGAATATTATGATTATTAAAATTATATATAAATAATAATTGGAATAAAAACAATAAATACTAAATATATATTAAATATTAATAATAAATATTAAATACTTCTAATAAAAAGAATAAATATTAAATAATACATTTTAAATAATAATAAATCATAGTTATAAGTATTAAATAATAATTTAATAACAATATGAAACAACAATAATAATATTGAATGAAGACTCCAAAAGGGAAGAATTTTGCATTGATATTTATGTAAATATATGTGAGTATCTAATAATATGCAAATATATGAAAATATAATATATGCATATTTAGGCATATACGATATGCAAATATATACAAATATATCACATGAAATCATATATATCAGCACTATATATTTAATAGGCACATGTATATGCAAATATATGGAAAAATATGCAAATATAGTTATATATAATAGGCACATACATACGCAAATATATTCAAAACAGAAACATATATAGGCAAAAATACACTATGCAAAATTATGTGAATACATAACATGCAAATTTATGCACGTGTCTTACTTATCGGCGCTTCCTCGTTCCTCCCAAGTGCCATATTGATTATTATCGGCTTCTGGAACAAGATTATCAGTGTCTTTTGCTCCGGTTGCTGGACGGACGAAGCATTGCTTCAATTGGTCCTATAGGTGGCAATATATATAACAATAAATATTGAATATTTACTATTAAATAGTAATAAAAATAATAAATACGTTAAATAATATATTATATATATTTAATATTACTCTAAAATATTAAATACTGCTAATAAAAATAATAAATGTTGAATAATACATTATATATTAAATATTAAAGACTACTAATATTAAATGATATGGCTTCAATTGGTCCTATAGATGGCAATATATAACAATAAAAATTTAATATTAAATAGTAATAAAAATAATAAATAAATATGTTAAATAATACATTATATATAATATTTAATATTACTCTAAAATATTAAATACTGCTAATAAAAATAATAAATGTTGAATAATACATTATATATTAAATATTAAACATTAATGACTACTAATATTAAATGATAAATAGTAATAAATGTTTAATACTTAATATTTTACAATTTAAATATATTTAATAATAATACAATAAGAATCAATATAAAATAATCAAAGCATAGTTTTTCCTCAAATATATAATTAATATAAATAAAAGAAATACTAAAATAAATGCAAAAATAAATAGTAAAGAAATACAAAAATCGATAAAAAAGAAATAATAAAAGAAATGCAAAGTTAAACACAAAGTAAGCAATAAATAAATACAAAAATTATCTAAGACTTGGAATGCTGTGTATCTATATATACTTACAATGGACCTGGCCAATTTGGAGAGCAAAGAAGCGAGCATATTAACTATATAGTTATGTATATATTGCATATTATATATGATCACAGAGAAAGAGCCTCCCTTCGCTCTGCCTCTGTAATGCATCTCTTCTAATAGAAGAGATGACAAACACTCTGACTTCATTCTATGCTTCGTCAATGGAAAGTTGTCATCAACACATTGAAACCCAATGAGTCGCTCCTGAAAGGTCAGGATTGAGGTCAAAGGTCAGGAAACTCCCCCCTCCATAAGAGTCACATTTACCATTGTGATGAATTCGGGAAATTGACCTCCACTCACAATAATTGTGAAAAAAAATCAGTATTTGCGAAAAAAAATAAGAAATTCACCTCCCTTCACAATAATTGTGAAAAATTTGAGAAATTCACCTCCATTTGCAATAATTGTGAAAAATTCACCATTAGTGAAAAAAATCCAGATATTCACCTTCATTTGCAATCATTGTGAAACATTCATAATTCCAGAAATTTCCATTTGCAAGAAATCTGAGAAATGCACCATTGTTCACAAAACCTTCAAGAAATTCACTTCCACTCACAAGAATTCTGAGAAAGTCACCATTTGTGAAAAAATTGAGAAATTCACCTCCATTCTCAGTAATTGTGAAAAATTCAAGAAATTGACATCCAGCCACAAGAAATTCACCATTTGTGAAAAGTTTGAGAAATTCACCTCCATTCTCAGTAATTGTGAAAAATTCAAGAAATCGACATCCAGCCACAATAATTCTGAGAAATTCACCGCTGGTCACAATAATTCTGAGAAATTCACCATTTGTGAAAAATTTGAGAAATTCACCTCCATTCACAGTAATTGTGAAAAATTCAAGAAATTGACATCCAGCCACAATAATTCTGAGAAATTCACCGCTGGTCACAAGAATTCTGAGAAATTCACCATTTGTAAAAAATTTGAGAAATTCACTTCTGTTCACAGTAATTGTGAAAAATTCAAGAAATTGACATCCAGCCACAATAATTCGGAGAAATTCACCGCTGCTCACAATAATTCTGAGAAATTCACCATTTCAATTTGTGAAAATTTTGAGAAATTCACCTCCGTTCACAGTAATTGTGAAAAATTCAAGAAATCGACATGCAGCCACAATAATTCTGAGAAATTCACTGCTGCTCACAATAATTCTGAGAAATTCACCATTTGTGAAAAATTTGAGAAATTCACCTCCGTTCACAGTAATTGTGAAAAATTCAAGACATTGACATCCAGCCACAATAATTCGGAGAAATTCACCGCTGCTCACAATAATTCTGAGAAATTCACCATTTCTGAAAAATCTGTGAAATTCACTTCTGTTCACAATAATTGTGAAACATTTGAGAAATTCACACCCACCCACAATAAATCAGAGGATTTCACCATGGCACACAAAACATTCAAGAAATTCACTTCCGTGATTCGTAATCTTATATTTCTCCTATAAATGAGACTTATAAGTCAGTACACCATGCAATCCCTCCTGACAGATGGCCATCCAGCCCTTTCTGACTCCCTCTGTTGAATTTTAAATAGTAACTGAGTTTTTCTTCCTTCTCAGGTTCCACCTATGACTCACTTACTGTAAACACGACACTCATGGTTTATTTATATACTTAATGACATCTGCTTAACAAGAGTGACTCTTATAGACAGAAGGAGGAGAACAGCCTAGGACTTGCTTTCTTCCTGCAATTATTCTTATGACTATTTTCCTGAATATTTGTGCAAATATTTTGTGAATATTTCTGTAAATATTTTCACAAATATTTTAACAAACATTTCTGCAAGAATTTTAAAGTATATTTTTTGGAATATTTTTGAAAATATGTAGAAGTTGCAAGTCTTTATTGATTTCCATGCAAATTGTGCCACCTTGTGGATTAAACCAGGACTTCCACACAGTAAATTAATATTAATAAATAGATCAGGTTAAAAATGCGTTGCTTTTTAATGTACTTTTTAACAGTCATGGTTCAATGTACCCTGTAGCAGTAAGGACCTTCGTAAACTACAACTCCCATAATGACATTGCTGAAACTACAAACTCCCATAAGGACCTTGGGAAAAACTACAACTCCCATTAGGACCTTGGAAAACTATGGCTCCCATGATCTGATTGCAGTTAAAGCTATATTAATTTTACATTGTGGATGCATTTTAATTGCTATCATATAATGGGACTTGTAGTTTTTAATTGCTATCAGATCAGGGGACTTGTAGTTTTCTAATGTTGTTATGGGATTTGTTGTTTCCTAACGTAACATTAGCCTCTTCTACCCAAAGGATGAGTACATAATATAGAATTTAATGCATTCTGATCATGGGACTCGTAGTTATCTAATGTTATGGGGGCCATAGTTTTGTTATGGGAGTTGTAGCTTCCCAAGAGCTCATTATCCTCCTTTGGGCAGATGAGGCTAAGGAGACCTTGGAAAACTACAACTCTCATAAGAACATTGGAAAACTACAAGTCCTATGATCTGATTGCAATCAAAATGCATTAAATCCCATACTTCAGACCCGTCCTTTGGGCAGAGAAGGCTAGTGGAGCTTTGGGAAACTACAACTCCCAGAACAAAACTACGAATCCCATAACAACATTAGAAAACTATATGTCCCATGATCGGAAATGCATTAAATCCACTGCAATTTACACAACTAATCCAGAGCTATGCAGCCCTGTAGTAGCCTTGATATATAGAAATACATACATACATATTCACTTTCTAACGGATGAGAGATGATAGTAAATAAAGGGAAATATAATACCTCAAGGAAAGCAAGCAAAAATAACAAGGCATCCAACTCACCCAGAAACATCGCAAAGCCTTCAATAGGTTTGGGCAGTAATAATACTCCATTGCTCGCCAAGGCGGAAAATATGGGTATTTCTCCGCCGCAGCTCTCGTTTGTTCGAGGTTAACGAGGATTATTTTACGAGAGAGTGGTGAATTATTCATCCGTTCAGGGAGACTGTTTGCCTCGTTAACGGGGGGGAATTGAACGAGGAGGGAAAAAACGAGCCGCTCTTTAATGGCGGAAAACTTAAACAAGGATTTAAATGGAGAGAAATATGAGCGACTCGTAAATCTTTCTTGTACAAACGAGCGACCCATAAACAGACTTCTCTTATGAATGAGCAATTTTTAATCTTATATTTCTCATAATTGACTCATAATTCTATATTTTTATATAAATGAGCAACTTGTAATCCTATATTTCCCGCATGAACAAGAAGCTATATTTCTCCTATAAATGAGCGACTCAATCCTATATTTCTCATATGAATGATCAACTCATAATAAACGGGCTACTCATAATTCTATATTTCTCCTATAAACGAGTGACTCGTAATCCTATATTTCTCCTATAAGTGATCGACTCGAGAAGCTATATTTGTCATATGAACGATTAACTCGTAATCCTATATTTCTCCTATAAGCGATCGACTCGAGAACCTATATTTCTTGCACGAACCATCAACTCGTAATCCTATATTTCTCCTATAAACGAGCGATTCGAGAAGCTATATTTCTCATATGAATGATCAACTCATAATCCTATATTATTCATATAAACAAGTGACTRGAGAAGCTATATTTCTRGCATGATCAACTCATAATCCTATATTTCTCCTATAAACGAGCGACTCYAGAAGCTATATTTCTCATATGAATGATCAACTCGTAATCCTATATTTTTCATATAAACAAGTGATTCGAGAAGCTATATTTCTCGCATCAGCAACTCATAATCCTATATTTTTCCTATAAACAAGCGATTCGAGAAGCTATATTTCTCATATGAACGATTAACTCATAATCCTATTTTTCTCATATAAACAAGTTACTTGAGAAGCTATAATTCTTGCACGAATGATCAACTCYTAATKCTATATTTCTCCTATAAACGAGCGATTCGAGAAGCWATATTTGTCATATGAACGATTAACTCGTAATCCTATATTTCTCCTATAAGCGATCAACTCGAGAACCTATATTTCTTGCATGAACGATCAACTCGTAATCCTATATTTCTCCTATAAACGAGCGACTCGAGAAGCTATATTCCTCATATGAATGATCAACTCGTAATCCTATATTTTTCATATAAATAAGTGATTCGAGAAGCTATATTTCTCGCATCAGCAACTCATAATCCTATATTTCTCCTATAAACAAGCGATTCGAGAAGCTATATTTCTCATATGAATGATTAACTCATAATTCTATTTTTCTCATATAAACAAGTTACTTGAGAAGCTATAATT